ATGCCCTCCCAGGCGGCTCCGCAGGTACCGGGCTCTCCCGGGGCGGGATCGGGAGCCGGGCCCGGGGGGCTTCGTGTGGCTCTCGGGGGTCCCCGGGCGGGGAGGGGAGGAGGGCCCTCGGGCCTGGCCGCGGGTCTTCACCGAGCTCTGGCTGCTTCCAGGAGGAGGAGGCAGAGATCCCGCTCAAGAAGGAGAAAACACATTTCACCGTCCGGCTGACAGAGATGAAAGCCGAGGACAAGGTGAAGCTGATCAAGGAGGTGAAGAACTGCGTGCAGGGAGTGAACCTCGTGCAGGTGAGGAAGGGGCTGCCCAAGGCTTGGGCTGCCCTGAGCCCGGCTGGGTCCCAAAGCTCGTTGCAAGCAGCAGCCTCAGTTCTCTGTGGAAAAAAGCACCTTTTGAAGGGTTTTTGCATTCAGAGCAGTCAGTCTGTGCACACGTCTCAGGGTGAAGATGCGGGCAGGGGGTAGAGCAGGAGTCAGCTGTGTCTGCCTGGTGTGTTTTGGAGAAGGCTCTGCCGTGTGGCCAACAACTGAGCCCCTGCCAGACGCGGTGAGATGGAGAAGGAGGCTCAGAGCAAAGACCTCAAAGTCCTGCGTGCCAGCCTCAGCTTCTCCAGAGAGCTGCTGAGAGCACTCCTGCAGAGGCGGGAGCAGCCGGGATTCCTCGCTGCAGCTGGCTTTGGCTTGCCTTCCCCTCAGGTTTTATTGCTTTTCCGAGGCCAGTGTTTCTCAGAATGAGTTTCTCTGATTCACACATCTTGCAGTCCATGCTTCAAGTGCCTTGCAGAGCTCTTCTTTTTGTAGGTGATTCCTCCTCTTTCCTCGGAGGAGAAAGGCCTTTCACAGTGTCAGCTCATGCCCTTGAGCTCAGGACAAAGAACCAGCGATGCAGCTGCTACTGCAGAAGCATTTAACGTGCTTCAGTTCTCTGCGGGGTGATGCCTTCGTATCTCGGGGATAATAGCAGCACTTGCTGTTTATCCAGTCGCAAGGAAGAAGCGTTGAGCACTGTAAAATCTGCTCTTGTAGCCCAGTCTATCAGTAGGATTCACAGAAAATCTCCTGACACATTCACGTTGAAATTTTGCAAAGCAAAGAGTCTGGTAACGGAGAGGCTGTGGTGGCAGAGATCTGAGTTTCGTTGGCCCCCCGGGGTAATTAACTGACACTGTGTTTATCCGTTATCAGTCCCAAGCAAACGTTGAGGTACCAAAACCCTGTAACGGACACGATCCCCGGGTAATTAAGAGCTGTCTGGAGAACGAACACTAAATCAACTTGGCTTAGCACGTGGAAGCCATCAAACACGCTGGCGGCCGTTCCCATGCAGAGTCGGGGTTGGTGGATGCGGGTTGTTGTGGGGAAACTTAGTCAGGTGTGACTTGGCCAACGTGGTATTTTGGTTAAAACACACAAAACGAACTGCTGCCGAGGGTTGGCTTTCCCTGCAGAGGCTGTACCAAAGCGTAGCTCGTTGTAAATCTGATTACCACCCACTTGAGGCGATTTCATCAGATTTGCAGGGAATCTGCTCTCAGCCCCGGCTGTTGGTGAGGTGGGAGGAGGTGTTGCTGGCAGCGTCTGGACGTTGGGTGCTGACGTGATCCGGACGGGACAGTCCTGCAGAAACGACTGCTGGAGGAGCCGGGCCCAAGTCCGTCTGTGCCTCTGAAGGCTTGTCCCGAGCCGGCCCAGCAGACACACGTCGTGATTTTTGTCCGGTCCTGGGCTGGCGTTCCCGCACGCTCCGGCCGAGGTTGGAAACGCGTCACCCCTGCGCAGCGGCTGTCGCTCTGCAGCTCTGGCTTGGCTCCGGCCCTGCTCCTCCTCCCGCTGGGAGCTCTGAGCAGCTGCTTCCTCCGACCGGGGCTGCTTTAGAACCCAAGTTAAGCATTAGTGAGCAAGGATCTCGAATGAATAACCTGATTGTGTTGCCTGTCCTCACCTCAGCAAGCCCCAACAGGCTCCTTTCCGGATACTGCCCTGGCCTCTGGTGGGTGAAGGCACGCCTGTCCTGCCTGCCCCTTCTCACCACTACCAAAAAAAAGCATTTTCCACCACCACGGATACATCATCACTGCACCCAACGTGAATTAAACCAGAAAACCTTTCTGCCAGCAGCAGCCGGTCTGCTGGGTGCTGAACACCTGCGGTGCCACACAGCAGAGCTGGCGGCGGCTCCTCGCCGTGGAGCCTCCTGGGCTTCGTTTCTGAGGACCTGAAGAGCTTCCTGGCTGCGTTTTGGTGCAGCAGCATCGGGCTGGAGCAGGGGCTTTTCCCCCGGGCTCCCTGCCCTCGCAGCTGCGCCGCAGCACGTCCCCGTCAGTCAGTTCAACGGCCTTTCAGTTTCCTGCCAGTGCTGTGGTGCTGCCTTGGTGCCGATCGTTTTGTATCAGAAGTCTTGAGAACAGCAAGATCGTGTTGTCAAACAGTCTGTACTGGAACTCTTTTTTTTTTTTGTTTTGGTTTTTTTTTGTTTTCTCACCCAGTACAGCGGATTCCTGCACAGCCGTGTACAAACCCCGCGGCAGCCTCTCCTCCCCGCTGGCAGAAATATGTGAACCAAAACATGGGCACTGCCAGAAGCTTGGCCGCAGGCAGGGCGGCAGCTGCCTTGGCAAGTTACTGTCTGGCGGCCCAGCACCTTCTCCACCCGGGGCCGCACCTCTGGGAGCACCGTGCACACGGTGGGAGGAATTGATGGGCAATTCCTCGCTGAAAAAGGGTTTCCAGGGCTCTAGGGGCTGTGGCATCGCTCGCAGTCGGGTTTAGACATCGTCTGGCAGGACGTGCTGTAGTTCAAGTGGAAAGTCTTGGGTTTTAAGTCCGGCAGGGGAGTTTTTTCTGGTCTGCTACTGCAGAGGTCAGGCTCAGGCCTTCGGGTCTGTTAATCCGGTTAGCGAAAGGCACTTTACCAGTCTCTTGTACTTTGTCCTTCCCCTCAGGCGAAGAAGCTGGTGGAGTCCCTGCCCCAGGAGATCAAGGCAAACGTCTCCAAGCAGGAAGCCGAGAAGATCAAAGCGGCGCTGGAGGCAGCGGGAGGGACTGTGGTTCTGGAGTAGGCAGCCTCCCCGCCCCACCATCTCCCCACGGAAAAACCCGGCAGGGGACGCGGCGGGGTGGGGAGAGAACGGATTTCCAAGTGCAAAAACATCCCTTAAAATCGTGCAGCGGCGAAGCGAAAACTCCGCGGGGTTGCACGGGGGCTGCCGCCCGCTTCCGCCGTCGCCACGAACTCTTCATAAATACCCGCCCCCCCCCGGGGAGGGGTGGGGAAAAAAAAAAGCTGTTAAAACGGTTCATTTCTAGGAAAAAAAAAAACCAGCGCTCC